AGAGCGTCTGTGTGGCCTGGGGGACGAGAGCAGAGCACAGCCTGGGAGCCCTGAGGCTGGGTGTGGCGTTGGGCTGCAGGGGAGAGAGGAGGGAGGAGGGAGCAGGGAACTGAAGCTGGGCGTGGTGGGATGCCAGGGATGCATCTGCAGGGAGATGAGGCACCGCAGTGGAGGGTCACGCTCACGCGTGTGAGTCTGCCACAGCACAGGGAGAGCTGCCTGCTGGCAGGGCTCTCAAAGCCCATCTTACAGATGAACACACTGAGGCTAGGACAGGCGACAGGCCGTGTCCAAGGTCACGTGGGTCGCAGGTGGAGGAGGAAGAGGAGGCCCAGTCTCCAACCCCACACTGGCTCTCCCCTACCCCACCCCGCACGCGCTCTGCATTTCTGTGTGAACAGCCTGTACTTGCTCCCACGATGCTGTGGGCTGCAGCCGAATGCCCTGCTCTGACTGTGTGTCCTCTTAAATGCTGGGTCGGATGTTCCATCCGCCCAGGACACCGGCCCGTGTTCGTAAACCTCAGTCACGGGCACATGCCGTCAGGTTGGCTCACACAGGAAATAACGAGTGAACCTTATCCCAGGCAGCAATTCAGACAGAGCGTGAACTTGGACCCTACAAAACCTCAATGCTTCTTCCTATTCATTAAGAATTCTAGGGCTAGGGCTAGGGCCAGGCCAGTGTGGCTCAGGGGTTGAGCATCAACCTAAGAAGCAGGAGGTCACGGTTCGATTCCTGGTCAGGGCACATGCCCGGGTTGCAGACTCGATCCCCAGTGTGGGGCATGCAGGAGGCAGCCGATCCATGATTCTCTCTCATCATTGATGTTTCTATCTCTCTCTCCCTCTCCCTTTCTCTCTGAAATAAATATATATTTTTTTAAGGAGTAAACTTACTTAAAATATATTTTTATTGATTTCAGAGAGGAAGGGCGAGGGAGAGAGAAACATCGATGAGAGAGAATCATGGATTGGCTGCCTCCTGCACGCCCCCTAGTGGGGATCAAGCATGCGACCCAGGCATGTGCCCTTGACCGGAATCAAACCTGGGACCCTTCAGTCTACAGGCCGACTGAGCCAAACTGGCCAGGGTGTGACCTTCTTAAAAAAAAAAATTCTAGAGCTAGGAAGATCCTCTTTGGACTCCTATTTTCTTACACCACCAAAAAAGGAAGGGGAAGCAAACTCTGAATTCATTTCCTTCTCTAGGTAGCTCTCCCCCAGGGCTGCTGGCCAGCAGACTGGCCCCAGGGCCACGTGGAAGGGGGGCAGCTGTCTAGACCAGCACCCCCAAGGGTAGACGCAGAGGCCGACCTTCCGTCACCAGCTCCTCATCCTCGTTGTCTGTGCTGCTCGGCTTCTCCGCGTCGCTCTCCAAGCCCTCGCTCCGCGGCCCCCTCTCCAGGGGCCCCTCGCTGCTCACGAAGTACGCGGCCAGGCCCAGCTCCTGCTCCAGCGCCGTGCGCACCAAGCAGGAGGAGTTGATCAGGCGCAGGTCACAGTACCTCAGAGACCTGGAGGCAACACGAGGGGTCCGGGCAGGGCCTCGAAGGGCACGGGCGCACGGGACCAGCGCCCACCCTCCCCGGGGCCGCACGGTGCACACGGAAAAGCGGTGCATTCCGGCGAGCCTTCGCCACGTCATGCGGCGGTGCAGCTGCAAGTGTCGGGGCACCTGCTATGGAGTGGCCGGGCTGCAGCTCCTGCTGTTGTTACACAAGCAAAGATGTGCAAAGGCCCCAAGCATGACCACCCGCCCTGCCCGTGGGTGTGAAGTACGTCTTTAAAAGCCAACCTGGCCCTACCCGGTTTGGCTCAGTGGATAGAGCATTGGCCTGCGGACTGAAGGGTCCCGGGTTCGATTCCGGTCAAGGGCAAACGCCCGAGTTGTGGGTTCGATCCCCAGTAGGGGGTGTGCGGGAGGCAGCTGATCAATGATTATATCTCATCATTGATGTTTCTATCACTCTCTTCCCTTCCCTTCCTCTCTGAAATCAATAAGCATATATTTGGGGGGGAGCCAGCCAGCCTGTCACCCCCATTCCAGCAACTGCTTCCTGAAGGAGGTGCCCTCTGCCCCGAGTGTTTGCCCGTCTGTGTGAGACCCGGGGGACGCCCAGTGGGCTTGTGGCCGCCATCTGCTCAGCGGTGATGGCCAGGCACCGCAGCCTGGGAGACAGCCCTGGGGGCCGGAAGAACAGCTCCTCCCCTGTCCCAAGACCCCTCCTAAATCAGGAGGAACCCACTATCCCTGCAGCCTAGACACAGTGGGAAAGGTAACCCCAGCCCCTAGATGACCCCATACTGCCCTCAATGGGCCGACAATCCCTAACAGACGGCGGCCGCCCTCCCCCGGCCATGGGGAGAAACCAAGCGGCATTAAACCCGGTCTCCAGCGGCAGGGCCCCACCCAGCGCCCCCGCCCCGCCCCCACAGGCACAAAGGGTGTCTGTCAGGGAGCTAGGCAGACTGTCCCAGGTCCCAGGCAGGGCCCCCCACTCACCTGGGTAAGGACTCCCCGTGCGGGTCCATCCCGCTGAAGATGAGGATGCAAGGCAGACCCTCCAACTCCAGGTAAGTCTGAGGCCTCCACTCAGCATCCTCAATGTTCTGCCACATCTGCAGACCGTTCAGAAGAAAGGGAACCTGAGACCCTGACCCCCCACTGCCCAGCCCTAGGGGGACCCCATGGCCTCCTGCAGGTGTTAAGCCCTTGCATTGTGTCCTGTGATAGGAAAGAAAGTTCCTGGTACTGCCAAGTGTAGGTCACCTGCTCCTCCACCGTGTTCCCACCACGGCTCGCTGCCTGGCACGCACGCTGGCTGCTGAGAAACACCTGCTCCGAGTCCGTGGGCACCACAAACCCTATGTGTCTACTGTTTCTCATTACTGTTTCTCAGCCACGGGACTGGCCTCTCCCTCATAGGCCCTGCTCGCTACTGACCCCATATTCTTCCTAACGCTTGTTCTGCCACTTCCATCACCTGTGGGTTTAGTGAGAAGCTACAATAGGCCAACACTGTGCTAGGGTTGGGAGACTGTGGCCTTTGGGGGTGGTTCCTGCCCTCCATCGCCTGGGGGAAGAGCCAGATGACAGGGAACACCAAACCAGCCCCAGGTGTGTGGCGGGGGATGCCCCAGGTATAGGGGGAGGGTCCCAGGTATGGGAGGGATGCCCCAGGTATGCGGGGAGGGTCCCAGGCATGCGGGGGAGGGCAGAAAAGATGCTGACTGAGTCCCGCAGTGACAGACACTACCTAAGCAAAGGAGAAGTGCCGTCCAGGAAGAAAGAAGAGCCGGCCACAGTCTGGAAGCTTAAAACAGCAAGACTGAGTTTTTGGGGAGCAGGGAGGGGGTGGCCTCTGGACTGAAGGATGCAGGCGGGGAGGGCGCTGGCGGGGAGGCAGGTGCAGAGGCCCGATGGGCTCGTGTTAAGGAGCTGGTCCCCACCTGGCCTCCCGCCCCTCGGACACCAGGCCCCACCCGCACTCCCAGCGTCCTCTCCCCTCCGTCCCCGACGTAGCGCCACCTTGAGCTGCTTCACGAAGTGCTTCCCGACGGTGAGGCCCGAGCTGGGGCTGCCCAGGATGATCTCGAAGCGCTGCTCCAGCGCCAGCCGCGCCCGCACGTGCGCCAGGCGCTCATAGGCCACGGCCGCCAGCGGCGAGCAGGGCACGCGCAGCAGCACCATGAGCCCGTGGCCGCAGGGGCACTGCTGGGGCGCGTTGATGAGGTTCTGGGTGATCTCCAGCGTCTCCACCGATGTGTAGTTCTTCATCTGCGAGAGGCCGCGCACGGCCATCATGGCCGCCGCGTAGTGCTGCACCAGGACGAAGGTGCGGATCACGGCGCTGTGCAGGCGGGGGAATCTGCAGAGACCCGTCCGCGTGAGCCGCCCGCAGCCACGCAGGGCACAGCTGCCACCAGCCACACAGGGCACAGCTGCCACCAGCCACGCAGGGTGGTCAGGTGGCGCTGGGCCGGACGCCTTCACAAGGCACCCGCAGCGCCCAGGCTACAAACAAGGCGGACATCCCTGTGCGGCCGGCTGCCCGAGCCTGAACCTGCAGCCCTGCTGTGGGGTGAAATCATGAGCTGTTCTGCGTGTCCAGCTGGAAACACGACAGGTTTGCTGCTGCTGGTGTTTCTCTGCTGCTCAGTAAACACCGGTTCAGTGAAGGAATAAAATAAATGCCCACTAGTCTCGCATCAGCGTACTTTACAGTTAGGTCATGTGCCCGAGGTTCCCACTGAAAGTGGGAGAACCACCAGCCATCAATCAGTGTGTAAGTGCAGCTCCCACAGGCCCCCGATTTGGGGGGGTCGTCCTGAAGGCACGTCAGTACATTCCCTTCAAGTACAGTAAAGGCCACAGTTCACAGAGATGCAAGACATAGGATCAGTTAGAGAGCGAATTACAAAACGGAACACACCTGGCTGGTGTGGCTCAGTGGTGGAGCATCGACCCATGAACCGAGAGGTCCCGGGTTCGATTCCCGGTCAGGGCACCTGCCCAGGTTGCAGGCTCGGTCCCCAGTGTGGGGCGGGAGGCAGCCAATCAATGTTTCTTTCTCACTGATATTTCCATCTCTCTATCCCTCTCCTCTCTCTAAAAAAAACAAAAGAATAAACCACACACACACACACACACGCACACACACACCAGAGCACATCCCGTCAGACCAGGAATCCGTTCTGCTCAGAAGCCACGGTTACCACGTGTGTCTCCACACAGAGGAGGTGAGCCCTCCCCCCACAACGAAACACACCCCAGAACCCCTGGTCCCCGGGTCTCACAGGAGCACAGAGACGGACACGCAGTTTACACGGATGCGCGTCGGAGTCCGCTTAGCCGGACTGAGCCCCTGATGGGGGGCCTTTGGAGCAAAGATAAAGTAAACTTCCTGACCCACAAAGTCAGGCTCCTCGCCGTGGCCACGCCACCCCACGCGCCCACAGGGTGGGCAGCTCGCTGATGACCTCCCTGCCCATCGCTCTCCTCTTCCTCCTCCTTCCTCCGTAGAGAGGCAGAGACACCACTGGCCCCAAACGCAGGACAAGACGGAACCCAGGGCCCTTTGCCAGAGGCACTGAGTCATGGGGAGGGCGGGAGGCGGACCCCTCCTGGAATGCCCTGGCTGCTCCCGCCTGCCCTTGCCAACCTGGCAGCTGAGGCACGTGGACACGGTACCTTTTCCCCAGGGCGGTGACCATGGCCTCGAAGGAGCTGTCATATCGGAGCAAGGGCAGGCTGTGCCCCGACAGGGTCGACTCGATGAACTCCGACAGCCCGAAGTACTTCCTGTCCTCGGGGTACAAGTCCGCGCCCTGGAACCGAGAGGAGCATGTCACGCAGGCATTGCACGTGGAAGACGGAGGGGCAGCGGCTGGGAGCACAGACTGCCGGGCGGACACCGGGATCTCCACGGGCTTGCTCGGCAGCCCCCGGTGAGATTTCATGGATTTCCTTCCCCTGCACACCGAGCCCAGGGCCTCCCACCTGAAGGACGGAGCGGCCCCTCGCTCGGGACTTCCCACTCATTCGACCCCAGCGTGCGTGTCAAGAAGGAACCCAGCCTTACTGGGTAACACACAACCCCCTGGTTAAAACGGCTTCTTTCCCACAATTTAAACTGGTTTGAGGAACAGCCAAATCAACTCTCTTGCTTTCCACTGCTATTAAAATCAACGGGAAAAACGTACTTATCTAACCAATTTTACTCACACTGGCAATAGAATGCCTCCCAAACTAACATCAGAGCTTCTCGAACTTCAGAGCATAGCCACGCTGGGGAGGCTGTTAAAACGACAAAGTAGCCCGGCCTGGTGGAGCGTCGACCCATGAACCGGGAGGTCACGGTTCGATTCCCGGTCAGGGCACAGGCCCGGGTTGTGGGCTCGATCCCCCGCAGGGGACATGCAAGAGGCAGCTAATAGATGTTTCTCTCTCATTCATGTTTCCCTCTCTCTTCCTCTCTGATATCAATTCAGACATATTTTTTTAAAAAAATTCAAGGAGCTGGGATCCACGTGACCCCCGGGCAGCCTCGTTAATCAAGATCTTTACTGAAGAGAGGTCCTCCCAACCCCAGGTCCCCGCGCCCCGGGCCGCAGCCGGCACTCACGGTGCTGTAGGAGGCGGGCCAGTGGATCTCGTTGTAGGGGCTGATGAGGGTGTGCTGCGTCTGCAGCGCGTACGGGAAGGAAGTCACGTGCAGGGTCACGATGTTGGGGGCCTCCTTCACCTCCCTGCAGTTGAGCAGTCTGTCCACCAGCCCCACCGACGGGTCGCTCGGGGAGTAGAGGTTATGGACGGCGCTGCTGAGGCAGGAAAGGAGACGGGGCAGTAGGTGGAATGGCTGATGCTGACCCATCATTGGACCAGGATGGAGCAGTTGGGTACATTTATAACTAGCCCCCCAACGCTGCCGACAATCGAAGCGTCTGGCTCTGCCATGACCAAGAAATAAGTATTTTAATTAAATGACTGTAGTGCAAGGGCCTTCGTTGCAGGCCGGCTCTGCCATGAGCACCTCTCGCCACCCCCCAGCCCCTCGAGGCTGAGAGGATGCTCCCCTCTTTAGCCTCAGTTTCCATAATGGCCCCTCTTGGAGGCCGCACTGCATGCCCCTGAGATAGCGTCCAGCTCTAAGGTTCTGCGGCATCCAAGCATCTGCCTTCAATGCCAAACCCCGCAGCGCTCATCTCTGGGAGGCCGTGCCCACCGTCCCAAGTGTCAGCCACACACATCACCTCAGAGGGGGAACGTGCCCGCCCAGAGCCCCCCTAACCTCACGAGGTCCCAGTGGGCGTGGTCGTGGACGAGGACGAAGAGCGTGTGCGGGTTCTGGAAGGAGTTCTGCAGAAAGACCTGGAACCGTGCCTGCGCCTCGGCGTCCAGCTTCAGGACGTACTGCTCCACCCTCTGCCTGGTCACGTGCTCCTTGTCCAAGCCGAGCTCCAGCAGAACCCCTGCACACGGTGCGCACACGCCAGGGGAACACACGGTGAGCACACACACGGTGAGCACACGGTGAGCACACGCACGGTGAGCACACGCACGGTGAGCACACGGTGCGCACACACACGGTGAGCACACGGTGAACACACGCCAGGGGGACACATGCACGTTGAGCACACGCACGGTGAGGACACACACGCCGGGGGAACACACGCCAGAAAGCGGTCACCAACTCCGGCCCAGGCTTCACTCACTCAGCAGACAGCGGTGAGCGCCGCCTGCATGGCTGGCACTGTGCTCGGCCCCGAGGCCACAGGGGTGCCCGAGACATGGGGGGCAGGGGCGCAGGCTCCCCCACGAAAGCCTGTGGTGAAACCGTCCGTGCAGGGCGTGGCCC